ACAGATTTTGAAGAACATTAGGACTTAACATTATCACGAGGGTCATATTGAACCTATTACTATGTTGATCGTTAGGGAAACTTATCGATATCATATCAACACAATTTGGCCATGGTCTGGGTATAAAAAATTATCCGAGGGCATACAAGGTCTTTCTAGCTTGTTCTTACACAAAGATAAAGGTTAGAAGGTTATCCGGAATCAATCTTTTCGATATTCAAAATAATTATCTTATTTTTTTTTTAATGTTTTAGGAGTCATGAATGTATTTTTATATTAACCTCTAAAGAAAGAAGAATACCTCATCTCATGGAGGAGATGGTTTGTACCGAACCTAAACTGTTCTTTAATCTTCTTGAAATACATTGATAATCGATTCGAATTATTCCATGATCTTCTTGAAATATTATTATGGTTATTTCGGGAGTTGATTCATAACTAATTTGAATCATCCCTTAATCTTCTTAGAATATGTATATAACCGATTCGAATTTTATCTTGATCTTCTTTAAATATTCCTATGGATATTTCCATTAGGGATCTGATTTATGATTGATCCGAATAGTCTCTTAATCTTCTTAAAATATTTTTATGAATATTTTATAGGAAAACTGATTCGTAACTAATCTAAACTACCTTTTAATCTTCTTGGGAGACATCTTGATAACTCAAAAATTGATTCAGTCAATTTTTTTGAAAGAGAACATCGATCCTGACATAACAAATGATAGCTGACTAGTCTTATATTCCTTATTATTGACGATTTGTCACCCTAATTTTTTTAGCATTTACAACTAAAAAATATGAAAAAAGAAATTAAAATTGAAGCAACAAAAGACCTTTTTTTTAATTCAGTCTTGTTATTCTAATTGAACAAGAAGTAATTTCTAAATCAAGTTCCGATTTCTCATAAATTCTAAAAATATCAGCAATTTTATATTGAATATAAACATATCAAGAATAAAGCATTTCTAGAGTGGATAGAAAGACTATAACCTTGAAATAAAAACAACCAAAAGGCAGTATAAGATCGATTACCTTAATCTACAACAGCAAACTAATGTGCCTTTGCCTATAAGAAATAATTGGAAACCTAAGGACCTGAGTGCTTCATGCTTAATGTGCTTATCTTGAACATTTAATATCATGGACTTAATAGAGCATGCATGCATACAGGCATAAGAGACGTCCGACAGACAATGTTTCAAACACCTTCCGAACAATATTCCATTGGCTTTTGTTATTCACAATCTTTTCACGTTTGCATCGATCTGAACACTTCCAAGATATACGAATCAACATAGCAGAAGGCAGTGAGGGACAACCCTAAGTCCTTACTTACCCTAACTTCTGCCGCTCGACTCATAGTTCCAATGCCTAAACCAGTACTATCCGATGGAAAACAAGAACCCAGAGAAGAACAGTGAGCAACACCATGAGACCAAGAAGAAGGATTACCTCCACCCATCCGAAAAGGTCCGACCTCGTCCTCAGATCCGCCACGGAACGCCGCAACTTCTCCCTTCTCTGACAGAAATCGGCGAGGATGATTAGGATCTCAAAGATCACATCAAGATCAAGGTGAAGGACGGAGAAAAGAAAGACCTAGGGGATCACCCACCAAGAGATCCTCCGTATCACCAGGCGGTGCATCGGGGGAGACCGTTCGAAGTGAGCGCGGCGACGATCGAAGGGAGGAGAGCAAGAGGGCAGCCCGAGCGCATCGGACGGCGGCGATCGCCGACTTGGAGGCGGGAATGGCTTCGAGTTCCTTCTCCATCTCCTCTCTCTTCTCCACTTATAATTATTGTTTCCCGCTTTGTAAACTAAATAGGCCGTTTTGCGGGCCAATTATTTACAAAAGAAGACCGGTCACAAAAACAATACACGCCCACTACAGGATTCGAATCCACGACCAACGGTTTAAGCGGTCAGTGGTCTACACTCTGAGAAAGACAACATAATTGTTTGTGTTTCAAGTGATGAAAATAGAACTAAAGATAACAACTTTCTGAATCATTCACACAACAATGAGAGGAGTAGAATGATGGCAAGCTGTGATTTGGGAGGTTCTCTATCTCGAATAACTTGGATTTAGGCATAAAGAAGTGAATTATTCGGCAAATTCTCATACCTTCTTTTCCCCTGAATTCACCTACTGTTCTATGTTCTTGTAGCTAGTCCTTTCAATCTCTTTCCTGTCACCCCAGCGGGTAACATCATTGTTCTACCGTGCTTTCTAGCTGGAAGCAGAGTACAAAAGGCTAGAAATCCTGAAAAGAAGCAGCAGCTTTGCTCATGTTTCTAAGGAGTGATCATACATCTTTGGTGCATGTAGTCAGACCACGCTCCCATGCAAAGAAACAAGCAAGTAAATTGAGAACAGAACCTAATTCCACAGAAGTTAACAAGCTGAAATCAGTACCACGGTGGAGGACGCAACAGCAAGAAACAGCAAGTCCTCAACAGGTAGGACTCTTGACCAACACCGCTCAAGACCTCTCTCATAGACCCCTTCTACTCTTCCTAGATGTAGTAGTAAACGAACAGCGCAATCGCCACATTGATGAGGCCTCCGACCGGTGCAGTTGACGAAGCAGCGGCGCCGCTGCGCCCAGCAGTCGGAGATGGAACCATGGCCACCCCTGAAGAAGATGGCGCTGCAGAGGGTCATGCATCAGTAGCCAACTAATACCATATGAGACAGGGTTAAGACGTATATTATTGCCTACAGATATCTTGTATGATTAGATGAAGAGATCATCGATATTCTCTGAAAAGAAATGAACAAGTAGATACCAGGAGCTGCACCAGGGCTAGCAGCAACAGCAGCTGCAGGAGGAAAGCCAAATCAAGTCAGTTTCCTCTCAGATCAAACACTTACTCGAGAAACCAAATGTCGAAAGAGAGAAATGTGATAGAGATTGCTGCATGGAGAGAGATCAAAGACCCACATTTGCACTTGCTGAAGTGGGAGGTGGAGACACCACAAGAAGATGGAAGGCCCATGGCCCTGGTCATGTTGAGTTTGACGCCGAAGGTTGCCCCCTCCTTGAAGGCGTCACAGAGGCAGGCCGTCGCCGCCTCCTTGACAACCTTCTTGAGGGCAGAGCAGCACTGTGTTTGTGGCTTGGCCTCAGTGCTTCCGTTCTCCACGAAGGTGAGGCAGTCGGCCAGGGAGAGGAGCGCAGAGGAGCAGTCCATGGAGGGCGCGGGTGCCCTCACATGAGCCCCGTCCCCATGCATGGCCACAGTCCACCAAACGACGACCAACCAAGCACAACTCTTAGCTCCAGCCATGGCTGTGGAATGGGTTCAAGTTGCAGGCTTTAAGAGAAGGTTACAGGAAGAGGAAAGGGTTGGAGGTTGAAGGTGGGACCCGGGAGAGGAAAGGGCAGGGCATGGGAGGGGGTGGAATGATGGACGGATGCGACAAAGGTGGAATTATATTGGAGTACAGCTTGCAAAATGCTACCGAGTTTGAAGCCATGCAGAGACAGTAACGGACGGCATGGCTTTTTGTTTGGGAGGTGTGTCTCAGGAACACTTAATTATCATGTGAGGTGGTGTAAGGGACAAGGAGGATCTGCAAACTGAGACCAGAATAGGTGTTAGAGATACATTACTGTCAGATAGGTGAAGTTTCAGTTCCCCAGAATCGGACAACTGTTGCAAGACATCAGTTGGAATTGGACAAGTTTGCTCCAAGAGCTGTAGCATCGGTTACTCTGCTTTCACGTCGAAGGAGAGAAGAAGAAGAAGAATAAGTACTTGAAGATGGATTTCATCACGCGGTAGTAGATATTTATGGGAATCGTATTTACATCAGACTGCCGTGAACTAAAGCTGAGCTAGCGAAGACAAGAGCAGACTGCACAGAGGTTAATTACATGCAATATACGACAGTGGCGAATGCAAGATTGGCAAGGAGTACAAGAAGCGAGGCCGGAAGTTTTAGTGCGCCCGAGGACACTGGTGGTGCAGCAGGTGGTGTGGCAGATGGCTGGAAGTGAGGGCCAGGTGGAGAGGCCGGTGCAGTTGGCAATGCTGGTGGCGAGGGAGTTGGAGTTGGAGTTGGCGGAGGGTTTGGTGGCGGCGTAGCAATTGGAGACGGTGGCGCAGCAACTGGAGTCGTTGGCGGCGGTGTAGCAACTGGAGTCGGGGGAGGGTTCGGGGGCGTAGCGATTGGAGCGGATGGCGGAGTTGACGGCGATGCAGCAGGCGGTGGTGTTACAGGGGGTTTGGGTGGTGTCCTCGGAGGTGATCTGGCTGGCGGAGTTGCTGGTGTAGGAGTGACTGGAGCAGGAGATGGCGGTGGTGATGTCGATGGTTCCGGAGATAGCTTCGACGTTACTACATTTCTCGAATAGATCGTTAGGATTACACTATCAAGATTCATATGAGCTTACGATGTTTGAAATATCTCAGAATACTTACATGAACGACGGTTTTCTGCAGCTGCAAGTTGAAGGAAAACAAGACGACGGTGAGGAGAAATAGAGAGCCTGAGAACCACCAGAAACAAGAACGAGGGCAATACTGCACACGTACCACTGCAATGCGCTGGCGGAAGGTGGCAGAAAGCAGGGAGACGAGAAGCACGAGTGGCATTCACAGGCGCTCCCAGAACCGAAGCCTTCAACACCTCACAGAGGCACTCCGGGACGAAACGGTGAATGCCGGAGACAACGCCACAGCAATACTTACTAGGTTCCAACACATGGCCGCCGTTCTCCAGATACGGCTTGCAAAGTTTGATGTGCGAACCAGCATCTGAACAGTTCAGAGACGAGGAAGGCCGCGGCGCGTCGGCGGTAGCGGAGGCCAGCGAGAAGCAAGTGGCCACAGCTGCCATGAAACAGAGTAGCTTAGCCATCATAGCGGGTACGAGATGGAGACTGCAGTGATACGTCTATATGAAGACATGAGAGCAACAGCATCCAAGAAATGCGTTGGCACAGTCAACACTTCTGTTTCCCTCGAGCCTATCAAGCGTTATC